TAGAAATATGTTATATGAATATTTTTCTAATCATCTGTACTCAAAGGTCAATTGTAGTTCCGTATATTTGTGTGTTATTGCCGATACTTTCTATAAAACGAAAAAAAAAAAAATTCGTTGGATTTAGTTTTGAAATAAATTCGTGTAAACCAAACAACAAAAACGCATTCTACACCTCGACCTCTTAGTGATGACGTCAACACGAGGGTCGCGGCGCCCACACTCCTCAGATCCATACTAATTAAAACAACTCCTAAAGTGGCTTATACATAATTTAAAGTTAAACCTGAAATTAACCTACTTCATACGACGTAAATTTATGCGGGATTTTAACAATACAGTAAACTACCCACATGCATCCACTCTGACAGACGAGTTGGTACTGACCCTCCCTCACCTCCGCGGCCTAATATATATACTGTATATCATCCCATCCAATATCACGTAAGCAACTAATTTTACCAAAACATAATATTTAACTGGAAGGTCATACATTAATTACTCCAATTCATTAACATTATATACACCGTTGCTCTTAATTTAGGTAATATGTTTTATAATTATATGTAACGACTAGAGACGCAGATTACATGGTTATGACGTAATGGAAGGTTTAAAGGTCTTTATTGATATCGTTGTTTTCCTTGATCATACCTGTAGTGACGTCACGGCTGGGATCATGATGAGGGGTGATATTGGAGGACCATTTAAAGCGTACAAGCGAAAACACACGCACACTCTCTCTCTCTCTCTCCACCAGGCAGCACCAACTCATTACATAATTGGCGTTTTTCAATCAAATCACAGCCAAGTTTAAATCCTCATAAATTGCTTGTTACAAAATGGCAGTGATTAATTCAACTGTGTCCCGGATGTTCGTTCTACCCAGCTTTACTTCAAAACAAAAGCAAAAACCCTCCTGGGGAATTATTTATTTTAGGTACTTATATTTTTCTGACTATTTTCTGTGTTTATTTTATCTATTTTCGAAAATTTCTCCGGTTAATTTCTAAGTTTTAGTTTTGGCTATTTCTTAAGCAATTATTTCTGGCTACTTGCAGTCACTCTTTTCTAGCAATAATAACGACTCTGTGTGTGTATGTATTTGTTTGCGTGTGTGTGTAAATGCCAATGAGGTGCACATTGTGTTTATAGACCTATTTAGTCATAAAACTCATGTGAACACCTAACCTACCCCAACGGACAACTTACTAAAAAAAAGGGTGTCTCAGAAAAATGTATACACATTGTCCTATAGATTTTCACTTAAGTCAATAAGGCAACGTGTATACATTTTATCGAGACACCCTAGAGCGTCGCAAAATTCTACGGTGTTTGCTACCCATGTTTCACTACCTCTGGCCACTCCCGGGGAGCTGAGGGTGACTCTGTAGTAAACGTTCTTATGTTACTCTTTCGTGTGTTTGTGATGGTTATACATGCTTGTGATGGCTGCAATATAATGAATAGTTGTAAATACTTGCAATTGTTGTAATGCTTGTAAATATTTGAAGGTTGTAATAATTATACATACTTAATAAAGGTTGTGTTATTTGTTCACACATGTGTTGGTTGAAATACTTGTAAATGATTGTACAAATTTGTAATGATTCTAATACGTGCTATTGTTGTACATACTTGTAATGACTATGCAAAGTTGTGTTGGTTGTACAAACAATATCTGTACAAACAAGGAATGATTATACAAAAGTACTATTCATGGTACAAACACATGACGGTTGTACATATAACAATTGTATAAACAAAGAATGGTTGTACATATACAGGTTGTACATGTAAAGGCTGTACATATTACGGTTTTACATAAAATAATTGTACATAAAACCACCTTACTTTTCACAGTTGTACCTAAAACACCTGTACATATAACGACAGCCGTACATAAACAAAACTGTACATATCACAAGTTTACATGAGTCTAGTGACGCTGGAGGCAGACAAGGTATGTACACAGAGGAGGAGGTGGTGGGGGGGACTATACAAACAAGGTTAGGGGCCAACAGGTAGGAAAACCTTTGTAAGTAAGGCCGGACACACGGTCAAAGGACCAAGCTTTGTTGTGCTTACGACAATAACACGTATACGGGACTATATTTGAATCTAAGTATGTTTACGTATGAGTGAGTGAGTGAGTGAGTGAGTGAGTGAGTGAGTGAGTGAGTGAGTGAGTAACCTATATCCCTGAATTTCCATTTAGTATGATTTGATATATCTCCCTCTTATTCCTCTTTCTGTTAAAAAACATTGTATTTTTTTACTCTCCTATTTTTCTCGATCTACTGGAGGGGGAACAGACATAACAGATCAGAATCATATCTATAGATGCATATATATATTGCTGGATACTCTCTCAACTTTCCCATCATCCATAAGGCTACCATAATACTTCTCCATCACGCTGTTCCCTCATGCCCACACCCCCATTACTACTAACCCTACCCACCTTGCCTATGACCCAATCACTCACTGCCCCCACATACCCATAACCCATCATTCAATACCCCCTTTGTCCACGCCCCCATCACACACTACCCCCATACCCACCACCCATCACTCAATTCCCCCATGCCCACCCACACAGCATAATTAGGCCAGACACTGAAGAACTTCCCGGATATAACGATTTTCATTTGAGTTTAATTACGGGTCGACCCGGATGTGTCTGCGGGCGCCTCACACCTCGTCCATTACCTCTCCACCACAACATTAAGAAGAAAAATACCTGAATGAAAAATAGGAAGAAATTAGAATCGGGGGAAAAAAGTTTATATAAACGACCGGACGTAAATTTTCTTCTGTTATTTACGATAGTACGTATTTTTTTTTTTTTGGTATATGGCAGTGAGTTAGTGTTTAAGTTAACGAAAGTACCTAAAATGTGTATATTTATGAAAGTGCGTACAGGTTTCTATATATACGACAATATTGGAAAAAAAAATAGTTGGGACAATACATTTAAAAGTATAATTACATCGTTTATATATGGGGAAAAATGAGCTATGTGCATAAACAACTGAAACAAGATACAGGCAGAGATAATAAGAAGAATACAGAGAACGATTGTTTATTGTTATTTCCTTCACGTAAGAGTCAAGATATATCACAAGACATACGAGTGCCAATCAGCCAGACGACGTGTCCTGCCAACCTGAGTAACACTACACATAAGGAAGAGCTCAAGTTGCTGGGTAAAAGTGAATTGCAATATGTGGAGGTGTGTGTGTGTGTGTGTGTGTGTGTGTGTGTTCTCTTTTTTGACCTCGAACAACAGCCGGCATTCCTGAACATCGTAAAGGCCGGTCCCCACACCCTCCAGTAGCACCCGTACACCACCAGTACCTCACACCACTACAACTCACCAACCCGTGATGAGAAAAATACAAATACATTGGATCTTCGACGCCAAAGACAAGTTTCCATCTACACACTGAAACCTGTTCCAACACCGAGAAAATTCTGGGTTTTTTTTTTCAGATACAGTGATGCCCCGGCAGACCCTTACCTTCAACATCCGTCCCCAGCTGGCGGCATCCTCAAAAATATGACCAAAAAGCATTCCTCAAATCCCAAAGTTTCCTTCTTTCCCATCACCAGGAATTTTGAAAAAGTCCGACAGACTTCAAAGAATTCCTGGGTAAAACCCTGACACACACACACATATATGTGTGTGTGTGTCGAATACTTCTATTGAATTTTATGTTTATGGTAAACAACAAAGATAAACAATGACATTATTTTCAAATCAAAACTCTTAACATGGAAACTTTAATCAGCTTCTATAAGACTACAACAACACACTGTGGTGGAGCACCTCACAGTGAGACCAGCAGAGGAACACTGTCTTACCTGTGACACACTTACCTGTGACCTCCCACCATACAATAGATATATTCTCAACAAAGGTAACGACAAATATACATAGTCCTCACTAACAGCCTACACTGTACACCTCCAAGCTGTCTCGGTGTAAACAATCAGTCCGGATTATCGTCAATATATCATAGTATTTATAATATGATATTTATGGACGATTTTTGGGAGAAGGGATTTCCATAGAGAGATTTATACGAGCACTACCTTTTATTGCGTCTTACATTAAAGGGGGATTTATACTTGACATTAAAGAGGAACTGATCGCTCTATCCAGGTGTTAATACTGTACCTTAAAACAGTTTCGTCGGTGCCATATAAACAATTTTCCCAAGTAAAATATTTTAACAATTATATTAAAATATTTTAACAATTATATTAAAATATTTTCAAAAAAAACTTTTACTCCTAATTCTACTAAGGAATTGTATCCATTTAGTACAGTGAATTATCAAAGAGAAAGTTAGTACTAAACCGGTGTTATATACTGTACACTTAGGAGTTTTATGTTGAATTTACGGGGAAAAAATCTAAATACACTTATGAAGGCAGACATTCATATCACCCCCATGGTAAGAAACGTTGATATATATATATTAAAAAAAAAACTGGACATAAAAAGACCTTAATGAAGTACTTTGTCAGAGAACATTGTAACAGGATAGTGATGGTTATCTCCCGTAAAGGAAACATTACTGAGACCAAGGTTATGTTCACCAACGAGTCTCTCTCTCTGTTCCAAAAGTTAATTATTAAAAAAAATCTGATTAAAACACCTGATGCGATTTTCAAGTTAGGTTCTGGGGGGATGAATCTCTGAAGGATTTACTGACGGAAGGACGAAATGAGTAGGGCGGACGACCAGACGGAGTAAAAGACAGACGAATTGAACGGGATAATCACGGACGAATAGGGAAAAAATACGTACAGATAGAGAGAACCTATCCCCCTATCTCCCTTCCTAACTTCAACGTTCGGGAGATAAAAACATGAGATATATATATATATATATATATATTCATACCAAACATCAGAGCCAACTTGTGTCTAATATATGACCACCGTCGAGAAGGTTGTCAAGCAGGTAAGGTAACAACAGCAGTACTCACCTGGGCCTTGACGGCGGAGAGGTGGACCTGTGCCACCCGAAGGTCGAAGCGCTTCATGCTGACGTCCTCCTGCAGCTCGTTGGCCTTGTTAAACACCGACGACTCGATGCTCCTGAGGGAGACGCAGAAAGTGTTTAGTTGGGAGAATTAGTTTCCTGACATGAAGGAGACTTGATGAGGAGAGGGTAAGGGAGAGGAGTGAGGGGGTAGGGAAAAGAAGGGAAGGAAGGGAAGGGGAAGGGAAGGAAGGGAAGGGAAGGGAAGGAAGGGAAGGGAAGGGAAGGATACAGGTGCATACATAGGTAGAGGGGGGTACAGGTACGGGTGTGGTGGTTACAGAAACAAGAAAAAAAACTCATATACAGGGACAGCTTACAGTACAAGTGAAAGAATAAGTACAGGTATGTGACTACAGATACAGGAACAAGAAAACCTACATAAATTGGAATAGGTACAGATACAGTCAGAGTGAGAGGTACAGGTAGACACAGGTACACGCTCGTAAACATTAAGGTAAACACGATTAATTAACATTGCTCGTCTCATGGTATTGCACATCACTATAAAATACACACAACATTACGACTCATTGCCTGCCTCCTGTACCAGTCACCGGTAACTATGCTAATTACTGGCCAGGTAAGTAGGGCAACAGAGGTCAGAGTGTAGTAGGCCGGTGCTAGACACACAGGTAGGTTAAAGAAGGTCAAATGAATCGTGTATGAGGCGGTTTGTATTTAGTTCAACAAGGATAGAATTATAAACTTTTTTAGGCTGTGTAAGAAATTCCCTCCCCTCACCCCCCTCACTACATAGAGAAAACTTACCTCTCCTTCACAGCCTCCCCGCACTACTACCCCTCACAACATCCCTGTCTCCCTCACTTTTGTCGGCTTCTCCTGCGTTCTCTCTCACGTCTAATATATACTCTCTCTCTCTCTCTCTCTCTCTCTCTCTCTCTCTCTCTCTCTCAAATCACCATCAACTCTTGACAACTACAAAGAGGAAATTATGTCTCTTGTCATTACCTGTCACTCTACTGTCACTCCTCCACATATCTGAGTGAGATCAGGTCCACGTTTTATTCAGGTAATATAATAATGGAAACTAAACCATTATGTGAGTTACCTAGTCATAAAACTACATCATTGTAAGGTAATATTATTATTTTTTTTTATGGAGATTTGACGGAACCTAAACTTAACCTAACCCCAACTTAGTCTAACTTAATCTTACTCCAACATGGTATAACATAACCTAACCTAATCTAACCAAAACCCAACGTAGTATAACTTAACCCAAACCTAGTCAAATTTAACCCCAACCTAATCTAACTTAACCAAATCGAATTTAACGTAATTTAATCTAATATAACCTAACCCCCATCCTAGTCTACCTTAACCTAACCCCAATCTAATCTAACTTAACCTAACCTAATCTAACTTAGCCCCAACCTGATCTAACTTAACCTAACCTAACCTAACCTAACCTAACACCAACCATGAACACAAACGTCAATAATAAAAGTTCCACGCAAGTTTTCTGAGTGAGTTTAATTAAAGTTTCACCATAATACCATTTTTCTAGGCAGGTTATCAAAGAGATTTATTAATAACTTGTATATAACTTGGGGATTAAAGCGTCTCATAAGCACCGTTAATATACTGTACCTGTTTTCTGTCAGAGTACCGTGGGAATTAAACCAACCCCACTTACCTTGATTCACAGACACTTAAAGAGAGAGGCGTTAGGTTAAATTTCCTTTCCTTTCCTTCGTTAAATGGACTTGCAAGAGCATATCTAATCTAACTCACTTAATCTCCGACAAACCTATTCATATATTACGTTTAAAGATGGCGTCGAAATTGCCTGAAGACTCCACCAAGTACCACAACTAGACACGACTTCTTACGGAATAAAAAATAGAAGTTCAAAATGGCGTCTAACCTACCCTGAGACTCTAGTAAGTAACGTGAGTAAACGTGTTATTTATTGAATGTATAAATTCTTGAATATCAGGTCGCGAGGGAAGTGAGAACGAGGTCTAGTCGTCATAGCAACGGGAGAACCGCCACCTGTGCTGTATTAACTAAGATAAATGGATATTCAGGTGTGGGGGAGCATAATGGCCACGCCCAGGGAAGATGACTAGATGTTACGATGACTGGGGAGGGGAGGGTGTTGGGGAGGGAAGGGTGTTGGGGAGGGAAGGGTGTTGGGGAGGGAAGGGTGTTGGGAGGGAAGGGGTGTTGGGGAGGGAGAGGTTGGGAGGAGGGTGTTGGGGAGGGGAGGGTGTTGGGAGGGGAGGGTGTTGGGAGGAGGGTGTGTGGGGTGTTGGAGGAGGGAGAGGAGGTGTTAGGAGGGTGTTGGAGAGAGAAGGGTGCTGGGGCAGCTGAGAGAGAGAGAGAGAGAGAGAGAGAGAGAGAGAGAGAGAGAGAGAGAGAGAGAGAGAGAGAGAGAGAGAGAGAGAGATATAATAAAACAACAATTCTCTCACGCATACACAGAGGCAAGAACAAGATCCTGGGACAATGGGGAAGGATTAGGCTGGATCCTCCACAACGCGGTCGGGAATCCTTTCTCAGATCCTCCCACCTGAACACTTGCTGGCCACCCCTTGGTCGTTCCCATGTCCCCCTCAACACCTGCAGCCACCCCTTGCTCGTCCTCAGGTCCCCCTCAACACCTGCTGGCCACCCCTTGGTCGTTCCCATGTCCCCCTCAACACCTGCAGCCACCCCTTGCTCGTCCTCAGGTCCCCCTCAACACCTGCTGGCCACCCCATGTTCGTATCCAGCCTGTCATTTGCTGTATACATGAGTGAATTATATCAATGAATGACAACAGATGCCAAAATATCATAGACGTAACATTTTTTTTCCTATACTGTCTGTCTGTCCGCCTACAGGTCTGTGTTCCTAATTCCCTGTGTGTTTTAGAGTGTGTGTGTGTGTGTTTGTGTGTACATGTTGTGAGAGAGAGAGAGAGAGAGAGAGAGAGAGAGAGAGAGAGAATATGGCACGATCACAAAAAAGACACTCGGCTTCACAGGTACTCAATAATTCACCTCCACACAACAATCCATCGCTCAGTTAAGACCCAGTCAGTGTTCAAGGGCACAGGTCACCCCCTAAACCCATCCCCCCTCACCAACTCCGACCCACCCCAGACTCACCACCTTGAGACTTCATCTCCAATCCATCCCAGTCTGAACACCACCAGAGACCTTTACGTAAAGTTCAATAAAAGTTCACCATCTCTTGTTTTTCCGGCTTCTACTGCGGTCCAGCACACACACACACACTACCTGCCCTATTAACCTACCTATTGTTAATATTTTACACACTGGTGGAGATTCTACCTTGATTACGATGTCATTTTTATCGTCAGTGAGGGAGTGAGGGAGTAGAGAAGCGAGTAGGGGATGGATGGGGATGGGGATAGGGGATGGGGAGGATTGGTGGGATTGGGGATGGGATAGGGATTAGATGATTGGGATGATTGATGGGGATGGGGATGGGGGGGGTGGGGGACTCTGGGTAAACTGGTTACTCCTGAATTCCAAACAGAGTCCAATGAACGAGAGAGAGAGAGAGAGAGAGAGTATACCACAAAAAGACCACCGGCATTTTTTCATCCTCCAGCTGGCCATCAGGGAGACAATCAGTCACTCGCACTGGTCGTCACACACGCGCCTTCGCCTCACAAGTCCACCTACTCATAAGACCTATTCTCCCTGTCTCTACCAAGATGACACCCAACCTAAACGTCCATGTGGCTTAACTCTCTATAACCCCTTCGATATCAGCTGTGTTTGTTTATTATTATTTTCCCGGATTTATGAAACACGTGGTTTTGTTTACATGTTGCAAATGTCAACAAATCGGCCGAAATCTATCGTGTTTTTTTCTGTAGGGGTGAAATCTGCGTAATGTTGTGGGAAATAAGGATATACAAGTTTCATAGAGGTTTAATAATAAAAAAATAGTTATGATATATAGTGGAAAAGGGGGGAGGGGTAATATGTGGAGTGGAATGCTAAGAAGGAATGAGGTGATGTAGACAGGGGTGTGAGGTGTAGAGGAATGAGGTGATGTAGACAGGGGTGTGAGGTGTAGAGGAATGTAATGTGTGGTGCAGGTTGTAGCACAAGGAAGGAAGAATGGAAGGAAGGAAGGCAGGAAGGAAGGAAGGCAGGAAGGATGGAAGGAATGACAGATGGAAGGAAAGAAGAATCCCCAAACCTCAACCTATTAACACGTCATCAACTTCAACCTCAAACAAGACACGACACACCTGTAACACCTCCCCCCACCCCACCCCACCAACATGCTATCGATTCTCTCTCTCTCTCTCTCGTTAAAGCAACCTGACGTACATGAACCAACACACCTGTTCTTGGGTAATCAAACACCTAAACACCTGCATAAACAAATAACAAATCCTCCTGCCAGGTGATTTACCCCGACACATTTAGGAAGGATTTTTTTTTTATAATCATGTTGGAGTTTGAAGGATACGCAATAGGAGTATTTGAGAGATCCTGTGATTATGTTAGGCCATTAAGGCATGACTTGTTTTTTTCTTGAGTCTCTCCTAATCTTTAAAATATTTGATTGTAATCTTTCTTGCTAATCGTTACGTAATCTTTATTGATAATTTCCCTTATATAATCTGGAATTACATAGTCTAAGCCTCTTTCCTCCTTTCTCTCGTCTATCCTCTCCTCTTTCCTCCCCCTCTCTTTTTTCCTCCTCTCAACCTGTTCACCCTCTCCTCTCCCTCTTGTCTCAAAATCTCAAATGGGCTATTTTAAGGATTTCGTTTCTCTTCTATTTTTTATCGCTCTTTTTACTGTATCACGCGAGTCTAGTTCCCCTATTTATCCTTATCTCTCTATACATCATCTTTATTGTATGTTATGGTGTTATTATTCTTTTATAGGTGAGAAGAGAGAGAGAGAGAGAGAGAGAGAGAGAGAGAGAGAGAGAGAGAGAGAGAGAGAGAGAGAGAGAGAGAGAGAGAGAGAGAGAGAGAGAGAGAGAGAGAGAGAGAGAGAGAGACCCTTTAGGACTGCCACAAAGAAATACCACAACCTGAATATATCTCCTCTTCCTCCACACACACACACAGAGGGACGGGACACGTCAATACGATCACCAGTCCCATGAATCTGTTCTTGAGAAGCGGAAAATCATACGACAAGCATGCTCTCTCTCTCTCTCTCTCTCTCTCTCTCTCTCTCTCGTTTGGCGCGTCAATCATGCCCACACACTTAGCAGCTGTACATATAAAAAGTCCGTGAGTGTGTGTGTGTGGGAGGAAAGTTCGTGATGTGGAATCTGGCTAATTGTAGGTAATGGTTTGTGTGTGTGTGTGTGTTTGGGTGTAGTGACTGTGTGGGTGTTACTGTGAAGTGTGTAAATATTAGGATGTAGTGTGTATGTGTGGGTGTTGTTGTGGTATGGATATTTGGGTGTAGTGTGGGTGTAGGCGGGTATTGTAGGTGGATAGTTTGAAGTTGCGATCCTGTCTAGCCAGTTGTTCCCACCAAGCCGTAAGACTTCACATCAACCTAATCTAATCTAACCTAACCTAACCTACACATAGACAATGGTTGGAAAACATTGCTGGTGACGATGTGTGAGTGTAGGTGTTGCTGAAGTGTGTGTGTGTGTGTGGTTGGTTGCATGTATGTATGATGTATGTATGTATGTATGTATGTATGTATGTATGTAAGTAGGACGACATAGCAACAGTCAGGTCACCTCACCTCCACTTCCTTGACCTCCACTCTCTCATTTTCTACAAACTCTCCATGACACAAGCTTATTACACGGAGGAGAAGCAGAAGAAGAAGAACCATCCACCTTCAATACATTATTATTAGCTCTCAATGGCCCCATCAGGTATTCAGTCAGCCTCATTAATACTAAGCAGGTGCGATGATATTAAATGGTGAGAAGTGAGGAAGTTTAGACTCGGGTAATCTCTCTCTCTCTCTCTCTCTCTCTCTCTCTCTCTCTCTCTCTCTCTGGTCAATAACTTCCAATCAGTGGCTGTCATAACTACTAATCCATTCTAATCCTTCCATGATAAAGGTCAATCATCTAAACAACCGTCCAATCGTCAGCCTTACACCAACTAATCCTCTCCTGCAATCCATTTTCACCAACTCCATTACCCAATCTTTTATGTTTGTAATCCACTTTTGGGTGATTATTACCAATCCCTAATCTCTAATATTATTTTTGTTTTCTTACAATTTTATATCTTTTTTTTTCTCCTTCTCCTTTATTCTCTTTCAGTTTCTTCGACGCTCCTCATCACCTCCTCACCACCTCCTCCCCCACCCACACATCCACCTCACCCACCTCCCCCACCCACACATCCTCCTCACCCACCTCACCCACCCACACATCCTTATCTCACCCAATCCCTCAGGACCCCTCAGCTTCTCCCTCTGCCAGATTAATATCAAGACAAAAACTCACTGACGCCAACAGGGAGAAAAAACTGAGCTATTATAGTGATTGATCATAGCCAGGGTGAGATGCTTCATAAGGGAGGGTAGGAGGGAGGGTAGGAGGAAGGGTAGGAAGGAGGGAGGGAGGGAGGAGGTAGGGAGGGAGGGAGGAGCGAGTTGGAAATAAGAGACATAGAGAAAGAGACAATATGGAAGAGGGAGGAAGAGATAAAGAGAGGAAGTGTATGGGAGAGGGAAGGAAGGAAGGTCAAGAGCCAAGAGAGTAGAAAAGTGTTAGATGTGAGATCGAGTAGTGATAAAAAAATTCTAAGCCAATCTAACAGACTAAAGAAGCTTCCTTCCCTTCCCACTCCCCAGTCAGCCAATGAATCGAAGCTTGAAGGCATCCGTAAGAAAATAACTAAAAATATCACACAATATCTTTTACACCCGAACAATAGCAGGATCCAGTGGCCACTACTGTAATGTGTTGAGGTGATAATACGGGAGGAGTAATCTGAGCTACACGACCCTTTAAAACAGGCAGTGGGAAGCAACAGGTCCCCACGACGACCCTCTCCTTCTGATATGTTGGTTTAGAGAGCCAGTGTCCACTACCTCCCTCCTGCCTTCTTCACCTACACCAGCAGGAAGAGGGGGTCATAACCTCCCCTTCACCTACAACAGCAGGAGTAGGTCGTCACTCACCTCTGCTGGATCCTGAGCAGTGTGTCCTGAGCCTCCTGCAGCTGGGAGATCTGTCGCTCCAGGTCGGCCGACTCCTTCCTGAGGGCGTCATACCGGTTCCTGGAGGAGAGCGCCGCCAAGCGGTCGAGGATGAGCTCGTTCTTGAGAGGCGTCGGCGGGGGCGGGTCCTGGGGGAAGCGAGGAGATTATAGTATATGTACAGTATGGTGTAAGTACAGTACACATGTGATGGTTGTACAAGTCTTACCTTCACTCACTTTGGAATGTCATACTTAACATTGAGAACAATAGTTCAAGTTCAAAACAATAATGAGACAATAATACAGGTAGACGGACTCCTACCTGTCTCAGCGTCTGTGTTAGTGACGTATATATTTACCTTCATATACATGACACAACAACCCGTCTCTGGTCCCGAGCTTCACAACAACAGAACCAGACAAACATATTTAATAAAATAAATGAATAAAAAAAGCTTTAATCTGATTCTACTCCCGAGACAGGTGAGGTAGTGGGCATAGCATCTCATAACACAGCTCTTTTGTTTCCCTTCACAACAGTGGCAGTAAACAGGTGAGGTGAGGGACGGGAGAATCTTAATTAGGTGAGGAGTCTGTGATGTAAGCGCTGGCAACAGGAATGTGGCCGGGGAGGTGAGCGAATTCCAATAACAATTTAATTTTAATGGGAGTCAGCCAGCGAGGTGCGTGAGGGGAGCGACTCCAATAATATATCTAATTCTTGAGTGATCTACATAAAGGCAGGGGGAGCCACCCAGGCCGATGTTTGTGAGGGTGTTTTTTGGGTTGACGTACACGAGGGGTGACTATGTGTACTGCCACAGTCCAGCTTTACTTAGGTATTAAAATATTTACTTATAATACGGTACTTGAGACAGGCCTCTGAACTTATAAATGTCCTACTGCCGTAAGAGTTATGTTGTCTCAGGCATAATAAACTGACGCTAATTGTGGAATAAATATAAACAAGGAACAATATTAAAACAACTACGACTACTCTTATCATAACCAGAGATACTGTATGTTTACTTCTTGACACCATAGTATATAACTGTGTGGATGAGTTACTAATAATATCTTTATGTAAAGCGAGGCAACACTACAGGGTGAGAGGATCAGTTACTCGCGCCACAGGATGATAACCTCACAAATAAACCGACGATAATATTACACTGATCAAGCCATAAACATTAGCCTGACAGGTACCTGGCGCCTAGCTGAATTAAAATTATCGCCAACCGAACCATGAAAATCACCCTCGCCTGCCACACCGTACTGGAGAATTTATATATATATATATATATATATATATATATATATATATATATATATATATATATATATATATATATATATATATATATATATATATATATATATATAACTTAATAAGATCAGGAAAGTATCCCGAGTACTAGTGAGGTACCTCCCTCCTTCAGGAGGGAGGATTCACCAGGACCTGTAGGATGAGTGAAACTTTGTTGACACTCCTGTTAATACTCTTCCCTCCCTCCCTCAGTAGCAGTACGGGTGAGGGAGCACCTCCCAACCCCTCCTCTTCCACTTCCATTATCACACTATTTAGGTTCCCGCTGTGGGCTTCAGGGGGTCGGCCTTAATGAATAGGTTGGTCAGGATTGCTTGTGTCCCAAGTGGCGACTAAAAGGGTGAGAGAAAGGATGGTTCAGGACCCACACGTCACCGATAAATAGTCCCTAGTGGAAAAGATGAAAGCCTGGCCCCGTGAGGCCACGGCCACTTCTACCATCCATCACACAGGCCGAGGTGAATGGTGTTAAAAACAGACCAACTGGTGACTGGATTCACACTCTACTCTTTAATATTTATTGTCATTAACCTGGTTTACATAACCTTCATTTACACGCATAACAGTTCACTAATATGAACAATAAACAATTACAAATCATTATACTGTTTGGCCGGGGTAATCGTCCTCATGTGATTCTCTTCATTAATATGGAAATTTTCAGATCACATGAAACACCAATTGTTGATTACTTCCGCGTGTTGTTGTGCAGGTGACGACACACACGCACAGCAGAGTTGGGTCAAGTTTCAGCAGCAGACAATGGCAGTATTCGTGGTGAGTACACAGGCGCTCTTCAACCTTGTGTACTCATCAATATAATGTCTACAGTATCGGGTGTACATGTTACTGATGAGAGTATAGTAACCTTTTGATGTACTAGAGACACTGCCAGGGATGCCAACACTACGGAGAGAACCCAACCAGCCGCTGCAAACAAAGAGTATCGAACCCGTGACCACTAATGTAAAAAATGACGACTTTACCATTAAACTACGGGGCTCCCAACCATGTAACAAAACATACCGTGAATAATAATTATTTTTTTATCAACAACTTGTTTCAGTGGCACAAACGAGATTTAAATTGCAAAACATTCATGAACTCCAAGTGAGTGAGACACGTGAGTCGCCTGGTGCAAGAGTCTAGTTAGGTGAGAAGGCTGTCAACGAGGCTCTAGGTCCTCTATTGTTGCTGCATATAACCCGGATGGCAGCTCACGAACGGCATGAAAATAAAACAAACAAATAAATACATAAATAAAAATAAAAATCCAGGTGCATCTATGAATAATTAATAACTAATATGAAATACATACAAATTGGTCTAACTCCTTTGTCTAGTGTAGAGTATTACCATTAGGCCGAGTCACAATGAAAGCATTTACACCCTTCCCACAGACAAGGTTGAGTAAAGCCATGAGTGTAGATGGTCTCTGTGATGTTCTTAGTCTGTGAGGTTGGCGGTGTGGTGGTGATAAGGCGTGTGTAGAGTTAGTCGTTTAGGCGGGTACGTGGGCGTTGTGATGTGGATGAGAACTGTCCATCAGGGTGGCAGGAAGTGCAGTTGTGTCTCACCTTTATACAGATCGTCGTCTAGTTCACAAGGGGGGAAGAGAATGAAGTGGAGGAGAGGGAGACACAGTGAAGAAGGAAAGGAATGGAGAAGGGAGGTAATTGGGAAGGGGAGAAAGAGAGTGGAAAGGAGAAGAGAAAGAGAGTGGAGAGGAAAAGAAGACAGAGAATAACGGGGACGGAGATGAGAGGAGTGGAAGAGAAAGAGAATGGAGAGGAGAGGAGTGACAAGCGAGTGGAAAAGAGGAGGAGGAATGGGCAATGAGGGGGAGTGTCCTGTAAAGCTGAAGATGAGGGAAGTGTACACACACACACACACACAGTGATACAGGAGGTCGTTAGTGTTAGCAGCAGTAGGAGGAGGAGGAGGAGGAGGAGCGAGTGTGGCAGTGAGGGGGAGGTGGGGGGGGTGCTCCTCCAGCTGCTCGTTAACCAAGATTGGCTGGTGGGGCGTGGCGACCCGACCTGCACCTACCACGCCCACCATCACCTTCCCGCGCCTCCTACCAAGATCCCGCACTTTCCACCACGCCCTCTACTACCCCGCGACTCCCACCACACCCACCATAACCACCCGAACTTCCCACCCCACACCACCACACGCCTCCTGCATACTGTGGCCTCCAACTCCGCCCCACCTGCAACAAACCCCCTCCCTTCCATCACACCCCCTCCCTCCCAACAAACCCCCTCCCTCCCATCACACCCCCTCCCTCCCAACACACCCTCTCCCTCCCATCACCCATCTGGAAAACTCCGATTATCTTCAGTTCGCAAATTACATCTTTTCTCGTACGATTCATTTTACGATTGAATATAGTGAAATGGGCGGAATCAGCCGTAAGGAGGAGGAGAAGGGTATTAACTTTGCTTCTTATTTGTGAGTGAAATTGACTGAATGTATAGCTATGAGACGTCTCTTCTTTACTTCCATTTGGTGAGGTGAGGTGAGATGAGGTGAGGTGAGGTGAGGTAAGGTGAGATGAGGTGAGGTGAGGTTGGGATAGGTGAGGTGGAGTGAAATAACGAAATAAATTGGGGTGTCTAATATTCACGTGGTTCCTCCCTTCTTCTACTTAATTAACCTGTTTATAGTTATATCCAGTGCGGTGTTAAGTGTGTCAAGACCCACCCACACACCCACCCACCCACCCACCCACCCACCCACCCAACACACACACACACACAACCGAAATAAGAGTCACGTACAAGACTCGTATAAAAGGACTCGTACGTGTTTATTTCCATGTAGTTCGACCCCTTAGAAAATGTGTCCAGTTATAGCAGAGTCTCGGTGCAATATTGACACCATTTTGTCCACCACCTGTGTAACCTAGACAACCTCTCACTTAATTGTTTAATGGAGGAAATTGAAGCCTTGAAGCCCCGAGAATTATATCCCAAGTTGTGGATTTTTAAAGATAAATAATTTTATTTTTTTCTACAGACTGAGAAAAAAACTGACATAAAATCGATTCTAAAATTAACTCCCATGTGTAATTAACCTGCCGTGTTTATTATTGCACCTGTGTTATGGTAGTTATGAGCAGTATTGAAGTTTTAGTTACGGTAGAAAAAGGATTTAAGTTAGGGTATAGGTGAGTTAGGTGCATTACTGAAGCTTGAGTTACGGTTAAAGTTGACAGAAGTTACGGAGGAGGTGGGTGAGGTGACAGACACTCCTCACCTCAACCCATAAGAGCCACACGCGTGAGTCAACATTGCCGCAACGTGAGTAAACCAGCCAGTGACACCCTTCTTGATGGTGTGCCCCCCACCCACTCCTTTCCTTCCTTCCTTCCTCCCTCCCTCCCTCTCCGTGTCTTCCATCCTTCCCTCCATCTATCCACCATATCACCCATTCCTCCACTCTCTTCTTCAACCGTGTCATCCATCCTTCCACTCCCTCCCTCCACCGTGTCCCCCATCCATACCTCTCATCCTAAAGTTCTCCCTCTCCCTTCTTCCCATCCGGCATTTTTCTCAACCCTTCTTCTTCTCCCCTCCCTTAATCCATCTTCTGTCATCCTTCTTCATTCTTCCCTCAACCCTTTATCTCCCTTCCTCAACCCTTTATCTCCCTTCATCCTTCCCTCAACCCTCCCTCCTCCCCCTTAACCCTCCCTCACCCTGACAAATGTGGTGGTCAGCCGGGCCTCCTTGTCACTATAGCGACACCTGACTCATATCTGGTCATCGCCACCACCACGAGCCCGCCTTCATGGCTCTAAGGCGGCCAGAAGGAG